GATATAACCGCTAAAAAAGAATAATACACAAAAAAAAAACGAAAAATAAATGAGCTAACAGGAAAACAAAATTCTTCCATTTTATTTAAAAAATAGTTTAGGACTGAAATGTAAGATGTGTTATTTCTATAAATTAAAGATAAAATGCAGATTTTAGTGTATTTTTTTGTTGTAACAGTTAATATTTGTAAATATTGATAAATATTTGTCCAATGGCATGTAAAATCACCCCTCGGTATTCGCGGTTTCTTCCGCAAGTCTTTTACTCGATGTTAAGTTTGAAGTTCGCGTTCGTTTGAGCTGAAAGCCATCGCGAAATTTTTCCCCGCGTTTCGCATTAATGTACCAAAACACCGAATTACTTAAAGCATCGTCCAAAGAAAATGGGCTTCCGGGAAAGCAGAGCAATCAAAGTAATTGGCAATTTTCTCTGAAGTCGATCCTTTCGTCGGCATTTCATGGTCAACGTCCTTCGTTTTCTCTCTTTCAGTAGCAGAAATCGTGTGTTTAAACGGCAACCAATGGACCGTTTATTGACTGAAACACTTTTCGTTTGGTCGATCGTTGGACAAACTCGATTAGCGTTCTCCTCTACTTGATTAACAGTAATTTACTTCCTTGCGGTTCGACTTATTCAATAAATATTGACCCATACGTTGTAGAAACATTTGCCAATACCGCTTCGGAATTGATGCACAAAGATGCAGTAACTATTTTAACACGAAATAACTCTGCGATAATATATATTTCCCGATAGAATTATACTAAATTTATGCTTGTCTAAATCCTTCTTCTTCCAGCTTCGATATAAATGAATATCGATTTTATTTTTTTTTTCTCTTTAACTAATTATCGATTACTTGATTCAAGATATAGTTCTAAGCTGAATTTGTAATTTGTTTGAAATGGGAACGATTTATATTTTTAATGTTCAGCTTCATTTCGAGGTCGAATTAAATGTTATAAATTAATTAAAAATCTTCGTACAATTCATTCATATTTATACATTATTGAGATCCGAGAGAGTGTTATCGTTTTAAAACTCATTTCCTTGACAAGATACTGTTACCGTTCATTAAAAAAATATTCGTTAGTAACGAGAGATTGAGATTGAAAAAAAATATCTCAATAATGAGAGAATCTTTCTTTCTTGTAAACTATTTTTAAGATAGGTAGGTCCGTTCATAATTATTGCAATAATATTTAATGATTTACAGAAAACAAAATATCGTACGAAGAAATATACTCTTTTGTTAGTGTAGTATTGAGGTAATGAGATTTCCGTTATACTCATTATAAAGTTACATAATTTTTAAAGAACACAGTATATATCTCTGTGTATCCGGCATATAGAAAGTTTTTTGTACCGACGTCGGCAGTATTTATTTTAGAATCGCGTACTTTTGCAGTTCTTGAGACTCAGTTCCTGGAAGAGTTGAAAATTGTATCGCATCAAAGTTTCGTAATAAATCCCACATCAAATAAGCTTTTCATAAGGCAAAGCTGGAAGTTATCATCCGTAATCTTGGAGGAAAGAAATGAAAAGACGTTCCTACTGACTGGTCTCTTTCGAAACTTAAAGGTCGAATGTTTGGTGGACAAGTATCTTTAGACCACTGTCGAATCATACTTTTTATCACTTACATTCTCTGGTACAGTGTGTATAATAGTTATACGTCTTATAGTCGAATTCTATTTTATTTGTATTCATTTCATTCGATTCAAACGTTAGCGCACACTTAAAGCGGCAGTATTTTAACCTTATTGTTATTTTGATGTTCCCTTTCCTTTTATTTTTGAAACTTTTATTGTCGTTTCCCTTTGTGTCTCAAAGCATCAGTCTACTTAAGTAACGTTTCGATGCCTAGAATGCATCGAACCGTAGTAGTTACAGCAAGTAAAGTAATTGCCAATTTCCTCTTCAATCGCTGGACCTGCATCAAAGAACATTCTTCACAGTAAGTGAATAATGGACCACCTAACCGTGAACTGGTCAAATATTTAGGTTCATGTAAACAGTATGAAACATCCCTGAAGAGTATTAATACTCAAGCGAATTATTGCTTGTAATAGCTTGTCCAGGTCTATTAAATTTCCATTTAATTTAATTTACTCGACGATTCATAATATTGTATTCCAAGGAATACAAATGAGTGCATCTCTAATTTGTTTTATATTCAAAAATATTTGATACATACAGAAGTTAATATGTACCAATGCTTTTTATATAAAAACCTCTTATCATTTTCTAGAGCAAATAAATTTTTCTTTAATTTACATTTGAAGGAAACAATATACCTTAACATTTAGAAGTTTATGAATGCTTGTTGTTAGATTTTCAAGCACGCGTAAGTTAGCGTTTCATTTGAGTTATTCCACCTGGGAATTCCGTTCGTCTTTCCGTCCGTTTCTTTTCTTTGTAAACCATTTCTTTCGCGTCGCCGCACCTTTATCGCCTGTGTATACATACAGGACTGTGTAATTCACTGTAATCCCAGCTTAATGTCCGATAACCTTAAGTATCACAAAAGCTTTTCGGAAAACGAATGAAACGGAAGCTTACCGCATTGTCTGCATAAATAGCCAGAGAAAGACCAATTATTCGGAGCTGCTTAAAAATTCAACTGCTCCTCGTTTTCGCCCTGTAAAGAAGAATCATCCGATAAGAATGTTACAGTATATTTGTATAACGTAAACGTTACCATAATTGCGAGAGAGCTATTAACAAAGTCACGGTTTCTTCGTTTTATACGCCATCAGATTATATTGTACGTTCCACTGCGATTAATTCGGATTAATGAGTCCATCATAACTGGATCGAATCTGTATCGAACATTGATTAAAACTTGGGGAAATTTTGATTAAGGAGTTCAGATTTGGTGCAAATTTTGATTAAATCTAAGTCATTAACTTCAGCCACTTAATTTGCAATCTACTTGTATTAAGACTTCTTAACGAAGCCTACAACTCTGTATAAGATCTTCCTGTAAAGTGCACCTGTATTTTATAATGGAGAACTTGTCTGTGGATGATTACTTGGTACTAGTCAAAATAACTCATTTTTCGATAATATTCTTTTACCATTGACTGAAACTATTCACTGTTTTCCTGCTTCAATTATTTTATTATTAATTATTATTTGATTGATTGATTATTATTAAATTTTTGTAATTATGACCACTTAATTATGTTGACGTCTTCTCTTTTCTATCTTGTTAAAGTTGTTACTTTATCTACTTCCTTTTTTAAAATACAAAGTTAAATTTCGTCCTATAAAATTATGCAAGCTACTCAACGACTTATAAAAATTCCAGTTATTTAAAAATTTAACGACGATCTCCACATGAGACTAAAAACATTCTTGGAACTGCATAAAAATTGCAACACCCAGCAACGTTAAATATTTAACCAATCGATTTAATGGTAGCGTGGTTCTTCGAAAGCCTTCTGTACAATCGATACTGCAGACTGAGCAGAAATTGACTCGTATCACTGAGTTTGCCATTTAAACGAACGATTCGGCAAAGGACGGCACTAATTCTTCCACTCCAATAGGTTCATCAAACATTTGAAAAACACTCGTCCTATAACATCCCTTGGCCACATATATGTATTCAATGATTTTTTTATACAGTGGACAATTTAAAATAAAGAAATATTTAGTTATAAAAAGGTTCATGGGAAAACTTGCATCATGCAATATTTATTATTTTTGATTGCGTTGAAATTTATATTTTACGATGTCCATGCTTGAAAAGAGATGTTTACATTATTAAAATTATTAATATACATGTATCATACTAAAAGAACAGAGTATAATAGTACTCATTGTGTTCTATAATTAAATGCAAGACATTTTCAGCTTGTCATCGAAATACAATATTATTTCAGAAGGAAAAATACGTTTATACCGTACGATGAAAAATAAAGAAAGTGAAATTGGTAATAATATCAACGTGATTTACTATGCACTATGCGTGAAATAAATAAAAATATTAGAATTGTTCATAATTACCTAACTATGAATACTATTTTGTAAACATAATTAATAAAAACCATTTAATGCCAAATTAATTAAATTGAACATAATATAAATTCTTTATGTAAATTCTGAATGGGAGGAGGGCACCTACATCAAAGCATTTGAAAACTACAGGTATAGTTCAAGCCAAATTGCTGGAAACTGCGACAAATTCGCAGCAGAATGTTTTAAACATTGGGATCCAAATGCATTCAAAGTGTCAGATTCCACACGTAGGAAGAAAATGAATGCCGGACCTTTAGATTTGACTCGCTGCGGCGGACTAGTCACGATTCCATTGCTGTTGAAATGTTATTCATTACATTGAAACGTGACTGGAGTATATGAGTGCAGTTGAGCTTTGATTCTGGAAACACTAAACAATGATTGAACTGTGACTGTAGGAAGGGTTGGATGGTTTGTTTAAATACAGATTTACCGTCACACACTGTATACTCGCCATGTTCGACAAAATAAAAATATAGAAAGTATAGAAAAATGATGTGTTGTATAGCAATGCATTTTGATAGGTGTGGCAAAAACAATATAATTAATTTAATCTTTGTTTTGCCTCGAGTTATTTCAAAATAATATTTACTGCGTTAAAGTATTATTTACTAATATTAATTCTATGAATAATATGTTATAATATTTTCATTCTTTAATCATGTATTTTTAATTTAAATTGACAGTGAGTGTACAGTTAATACTTGAACAAAGCAACACAAACAATAAATAATCCAAAAATCCACGAAATCGGGATTCCATAAATCCGCGAAGTAAATCTATTTAGAAAATTATATTATAACAAATAAATTTTACTATTCATCTCTAATTATTTATCTTCCGATAATTGAATTATATATAGATATATTTATAATTTATAGTTCTATGTATGTAGCGTATTCTTATTTATTATCACAAACTAGTACTATGTAGTGTCGATAAAACTAATGGTCGTTTATGTTTTTGATTGCAGGGACTACTACTACGATAGGTGAGTGCAAATTCCATGATGTTTCGCGATTATGCTGAATATTCAGGTATTGCAAAAGGCAGTTTAATTATACACGTAACTTACAATTCACATTTTTCATTGCTTTTGAAGAATATTAATACGTCGAACGTAATTTTTGTTTAAACGAGGTATTCAAATAAACCGCATCCTTTGTTTCATTTGCCTTTGACGTTTTCCCACATAAATGTAACAAAGCGTTTGAAAAATATTCTCATATTACGTTATTCTCATTATTTAGGAGCGGCTTCATTTCACTGAATACTAGTTTCGATAAATTTGATAATTGAATGGCAAACCAATTTTAAAATTTTATTCTATTTCGAATTTTAGTTGAAAGTAACTATCAAAACTGTATGGAAGCATGCGTAGTTTTCGTTGAATGTTGCAGTTGTCAGTGTGCAGTATTCCAGTGAATAATTTAACAATTATTTCAAATATTATAATTAATATATAAAATCAAATAAGATCCTAAAATTGCAAATTGATTGCATCTATCGAAGCTTATACAGGCCTATCAGTACAACCATAGTTATGAAGTATTTTACAAACTGTTATTAACGACGTAATAAAGTCATGCAAATCAAATAATTTCGATACAACTATTTGTATAATCTCCAGTATATTCTACTCCAGGACCAACAGTACGCACAACGTGAATCGAAACGTCTCCCATAAAATTCCATATAATACAAAAGTGCTTAACGTTGTAGCATGAAATTAAAGTGAGAGCAGTTTTTGCATCGGATAACTATCGATGTCGAAAATATAAAGTTACGTAGAGCGACCGCCTATAAAAAGCAACATTTCCAAATATCGGGGACGGGTGGGTGGCGGGGCAGGCCGCAACGTGCGCGTGCAATTTTGAAAAGCAGGCGCGTAATTTGTCGTCGATGCTGGGAATTATAACTACTAGACCGTAAATCACAATTATTATCTCGGATCGTTTTCCGAACGTTTCACTTCTGCTTCGCATGCACGATACGCAAGATGAACATCGCCAACAATATTGAAGTTCATTAATTTATTTTTGCGTATCGTACCCAACTCTGTCGCCCGGTACACATTCATTACTTTCTGGCATCGATTACATTCGGACCTTCGAAATCCCGCCAATGGCCGGTTAGATGTGTTTTTTATTAGAATTGCCCTGATTATCGTAAATTGAATTTAAAACCTGAGCACCGGCGGGTCGCGTTTTTCAGTTCAAACGCTTTTTATCTTTTGTAATCCGCGCGTTAAATTATCACGTCCGGTAATTAATATTTTGTTCATTCTAATTGCGTCGCTAAATGATTCGATTGAAGTTCGAAAACACGTAAAAAGGCACGTTAGCGTGTAAAATTTGAAGTCAGCCGTAAATTTTACGTGTAATTTATTTAATTGACGAGTTTTTCAATCGGCGAGTTTCAATAGAGGTCCATTTAATTTAACATAACACGTTTCGTAATAAAGAAATCGATGCTGGCAAGGCTAATTTCGCGAGAAACTTGGGGTTCGAGTATACTCCTAAGAATTTAAACTCCGTTAAGATTCTATATCACCATCAAAGGAGCCTTTCATTTAAAGGACGGTTCATTTAAAAGCTTCGCTGAAATTCTTACGAGCGCTAAAAGCGCTACTTTTTACTACCAAAATACTGCGATTTTCCTACGACCTCCGAATTTCTCCAAAACAAAAAAATACAGCATCAATTCTTCTTACGTAAACACAAAATTTTTGTCATGTGTAATGCAATATTCCTCTACTAATAAATACTAAACGCTTATTTATTTTCCCATAAACATTTAAATTAAATTAATACTAACTGGAATATTTTATTGTCGTATTAATTGATGTGGTGTTTTATGAGCTATTGCAATATTAATAAATAATTATACTATTAATCTTGATACAAAGAGAAAAATTGAAATTGTATGTGTTAAGGTATAAAATGTAATGTCAAAGCTAATTACACCTTCCATTCTATTAATTTTTATAAATAAAATCAAATGGTTGTACGTTCTTCGTCTGGACAGTATTCCACAGCGAACACATTTTGATCTTGGCGGGATGTTCGATCTTTGAGATATCAACATCAACCCCTCGGGCAACAAGTCGCGGACATGTTTTCGCGAATGGACGTAAACGAAGCGTAAAAGGTTAATTAGTCGCCGTGAACGCTCACGACAGGATATATTAACACTTAATTACTCGGCGGGAGCACGCAATTATTTTTTTTTATCCACTCCTCTCCAACCCCCGAGATACTTGCCCAATTAATCGCCTCCTCGGTCGCTCAAGGAGCGAACAAGGGCCCCCCTGATTGAATGGAAAAAACTTAAAGAGGCAGTGCACGTGCGATTATCAAAAAGCACGTTGCACGCCAACGTTATTATGTTCACGTGACCGTAGACAATAATTATTAAGTCCCGCGTGCTGTGTCGACCCTTTGCGTATATTTTGCGCGCTATAACACGCAGGAAGGCCGGTATGAAACGCCATTTTTGTCCTATTTGTTCGCACGTTCACGGAAGAAAATTTCTGTATAATTTAGAACCCTCGGGGCGAATATCGTCGACCCCGTAGTCGGTGTGAAAAGCGACCAAATTACTGGGAACTATTTATCGCACGCTTAATCCGGCCGTCGCAGACTGGATCGATTTTGCCAGTGATCGGGCGACGAAACTTTTCAATTCTTTAATTTTTCTGTTTTTTTAAATACGAGTTCAATGTGGCATCAATTACGTAGTTAATAGCGTCAGACTAGATGAGTGCTAATAAATAGACCCGTTAAAATATTTATATCGAGTTATTAGAGTTTTTTTTTTTAGACAGTTTAATGTCACTTCTAAAGTTTAGTGAGTCTTGCATTGTTTTTCTTTCAAGTGGTTTTCAAGAGTAGGTTTTAACTCGTATTTTGTAAGAAGTGCTTCGCATTTATTGCAGTTACAATTTTTGTGTTGGGTATAGAACATTCTTGTTAAGTAAATTGCATTTAACATTATGAATATTTTTTACGCATTTAATTGCTGTCGTTGTATATAACAATTAAATGAATTTTTTAAATATAAGTAGCAAGAAACTGCTGGAACACCCGATGCAACATAAGCAAGCTCGTTTAAAAGACAAAAAGTAAAAATAATTCAGAAATAATAATATCCCAAAGGCGTAGGAGACGACTGAATAAACCAATCTAACTACCCTATTAGTCTCTCAGACATTTCGGTTGACGTCAATAATTCAATCGTCGTTCCAACCACCCCGAATGCCGTAACTAGGCGAAAATTGAACTGGAAATAACAATGCGCCAATACGACAAAGAAAAAGCCTGATGGTAAATAAATTCTCGATCCCAGGTAGCTACAGACAAGAAAGTATTCCGTGAAACAATTCAATTTTTTCCGTCGCCTGAACAGTCTTTTTCGTTCGCGAAATTGTTGCACGGTTCGCGATATTCGCGACAGCCTTTTTCACCGCGATGCCAGTCGGAAATTGGCTGTAGACGCGGTTGTCCATACGACGCCGACGCGGGTTAGGAAAAAAAACACGCGAATGCTAAAGAAACTATTGACATGGAAAAAAAAACACAAATAGAAAAACGGTATGAACAGCAATCAATTCCTTTTTACCCGACGAACAATATTTTACATCGCACAGGCGTCGCTGGTGGCGGCATTCGGGGGCATCGCGTGCGTTAGAGCGTGTGCAGCGCGTTGCATATTTAAAGGCAAGGTGCAAGGACGGAATATAAAGTCTGTTGGAAAACAGCGCTCGGCCAAAAAGAAAACGTAGGGAGTGTAGCGGAGCAGAGGTCGTGGACCGTCGCGATGGAAGAATTAATAAAGCAACGAAAAACAACGTCACGTGGTTTGCTGTTGTGTTTTTGGTCTAAAGAAAAGAGCGTGGAGCGTGCATGTTTCTCCAGTTATAATTCCGTTCCGCGCCGGTGTCCAGCAATGGCCTCATCTGAGCTTATGACTTTTATTAGTCGGCGTCGTTCCGCGCGTCGCGTCCACGCGCTCTACGCTTCCCAAGTAGCCCCGTCATTTCGCAATCGAGGATGGAAATATTCTTACAGAGTCGTGTTTCTATTTATACATTTTTATCATCTCGTTAAAAATAACGTACAGAAATTCCCATAATTGTTGTACGCATCGTTTTTAACGATCACCAAGCGCAGGTTAGGAGCCTTTTCTTGATATTTTAGAAACTATTGCGTTCGGTGTCAAAATAGTTGTCACCAAAAATAGAGATGAGGACATTTTCTACAAGAATGGAGTAATATGTTATTTAGCATAGTCTAGTATTTCTGGATGTGTCAAATTTCAAGAGATAAAATTAACCAACTCACTGCTGGACAGATTTAAAGCGTTTTGCCTTGGGCGTCTAGACTTAATATAGACAATTTTCAAATTCTAATTAGACGTATAATACAAACTGTATGCAATGTTGGCATTGCTTTCTTAACTTTACTCTACAATGCCAAGTAATGGCAAAAATATAAGACTTCTCAATATAAATTGCTCGGGTATCTTTAACTTTGTCTCGTACAACAATATAAAATACAAATTATATGTAAGGTAATACTGTCTTCTATAATATTTTATAATTAAACGTCCTAAATAGCAACACTGGATAAGATTTCAATGAAATTTCAAGTATGCATCAAATTTCCCGGTTTATCCGTTCGATTGCATACCATAATCTATTAGTGACATAACGGTGTGTAATGGAATTAAGAGTTACGTGACCGTTTTGTGATCCAGCCGCTTTACGGAAAACTATTACGCTGCGAAATTATGTGCCCGAGAATAGCGCTGAATATTGCCATGGGAAATTATCATTTTCTAATTTTGTGCTTATTTCAGATTCAGGCGTGCGTATTATCGCAGTCTATTGTAGATTCTTATTTATCGATGCGACCCTCTTTGCTCTGCCTTTGATAATTTTTTCCAGCCTGCATCGAAGGAAATTGGTGGAAATTTTCTTGAGGAAACGCG